TGTCATCCTCCAACGCGGCCAGCAAACTCGTTGTCGCACCTCAGATTCCTCGCCAGTTGCAGTTGCACTCTTCGTTCCACCTGTCCAGGTGTTAACTCATTTGCGTGGCTGTTAAGTGACTCAATAACGACGTCTCAAATTGAGGACTCCCCGCAGAGACTGCATCTCATGGATACACACGCCAGAAGTTGCATCTCTTGAGTTGCGATTCGCAGTGACAAATTTGTAATGCCTGCAAATGTTTTCATTAATGGTGCAAAATGGAAACTGGTTTTTAAAGAACTTTGCAGAAGAGTTAATAAATGTTTTCTATTTTTGACACCCATTTAAAAATTTGAATATTAAAAAAATTATTTTGTTCGCATTGCAATGTGTTTAAACTTTCTTCATAAAACTTAATATCTTAACTCTAATTTACCGTCCATTCTATTTCTGGGATTTTCCCGAGTATTTTTCAAGAACGATTTTAGCTAAACAAAAGGGAATAAACAGAAATATTAAACAATTTTACTCCGGGCTCCTGTTTTTCTGTCAGATAAAAGGTTATTTATCCCAAACGATTTATCAAAAAGTAAAGAAAAAACTCTTTGTAGTTCATTATTTCGCAAAGTTTTCCTCTTGTCTCATCTCCTCGACTTCATCTTGTTTTCCATCAGTTGCAGTGGATCCCAGAGTCCCATGAGTTTGCCCAAACTCTCCGATTCGATTATACTCGCTTCTGTTTCTTTTTCCTTGGATCTTTGGCACTTTTCTCCAGCGCAATCATGGCAGGGCAAAAAAAAACTTCAATCCGAATTAGCTTCAATCAATACGTATGTTCAATATTTGGCAATGGCTTTTCCTACATTCTTGCTCGGAAACCCCGGAATCCATTGTTAACAGCTTCATTAAGTCCATGGCAAAAGGATGGTCGTAAAAAAAGAAGGAGCTTTCGCCCCTGCATAAGGGAAAATATTACAGCAGCCATAAAAATATTCGGGGGGAAACCGCTGCTCAACATTGTACTTGTATTTCTTGCACGTATTCATCCAAGGCCCTTGGCTCCCTCGCCTCAAGTTTTTCCATTCAAACCGCAGCTGAAGATGAAGAAATTCATTTGGAACTCGCGTACCTGGGTCTTGAGCCGAAGAATAAAGTTTCGACTTGACTGCATTTTAATCAAGACGAGAGCCACGAACCAAAACCGAACCGAACCACATTTTTTGACCCTCTTGATTATGTCGCACTCTGGAGTTCAGGAGGGGTAAATTGCTCAGCTTTCGGGGTTCTCGGGGTGCCAAAAAGTCATGTACCCCCACCAAAGTCGTAATGGCTAAGTTGCCGTTAAATTGCGGTGAAAAATTGATAACATTTTTCAAGTGGCTGATAAGAAGCCGAATATAAGTTTGACGTTTTCATAATTTGTTGCGCAAGATTAAACCCTTTGAATGGTTTGTTGTTATAAACTTCTATGAGTAAAGCCTTGGTGAATGTGTAATAAATGCAATGGTGATATTTAAACCAAGAATTTAGCTTGCCTCTGTTGATTCTTCTTTAAAAAAACGGGTTTAAATGTAATTCTTCGAAACGTAAACACCTAAATTCTATTTATATCGAGTAAAATGACATTAATGCAGCACGTAGCACAAGTTTCACATGTCAATTTTCCTAACAAATTCAATTTTTATTCGCTCATCTCGCAGATTCGTTTGCTTCCGCTATGGAAAATGTGGTAAGAAGGGGGATAGAGGGTGGATTTAAGGGTGGTGGAAAAGGGGAAGAACTTGAAAAAGTTCAAGCTGGCACCCACTTGAAGATGGCACCACAGACGTTGAGCCACATCCCCTAAAATCGTCTGAGCTGTGATGAGCTGCCTTCTCGCTCTCATCCCAAACTTTGTTCCTTTCCCTTTTTCTCATGCCCCCAAGTTCCCCTTTTTCGCCCAGTGAAGCTTCGCTCACTTTGGCTGCCTTCCACTTAATCCATTGAAACAATAAGCAGCTTTGTTTGTTCTATCCACGACGACAGTCTCGCACTTTTTCTTCTGGACTTTTGTTTTGTTCCTGCACTCCACGAAAATGAAAAGAGATGAAGCGATAGAGGAGGGAGAGAGAGATAGAAGTGCAGCCGCAGCAGTTTTCAGTTTTTACCAACTTTAACCTTATGTCGCTCTTGTCTTCCTATTAAAATACCCTTTAAAAGGGGCACTTAAATATTAACAATAACACATTACAAGGTTTCATTTAAATATAATTTTTTTAACGAAATTATAACTACTAAGTGTCTTGCAAAAAATATTTAAATTATTTTAAACGAAAATAAGAAATTATTAAACAAAAAAAGATTCATTGATAAATAATTATTTAAATTATAATTTATAAAGAATATTTTTTTTATATTATACTTTTATAAATGGATTTTTTTTAATAAGGATATTTAAAGTTCGCTATCCCAAGCTTGTTATCCTGTCCTTTGGTGTTATTCTGAATATCTCCACCATTTTTGCCTGTTTTTCCATTGTAGTCTCAAAGCGCGTCTGAAGTGCAATGCAAACGGGAATGGAGACAAAGCCGGCACAAAATCTTCGCCGTCTGCTTTTGGGTGTTTCATTTAGTGCTAACCTCTGGGTGCCCCTTCTGGCCACTCCCCTGTCCGCATGCATCCCAGCCCCCCCTTAATCTCGTCTCACTGGGATCCTGCCACTGCATCCCCCTAGCTAGCTTATGATGACAATGACTCTGAGGGGAGTTTCCTGGGAGACGGGGAAACGGCATCCCTTGGCAGTGATTACGAGTAGTATAGTAGCTGCATGGTTTTGACTCCTCAAGGATCTATCCCCAGCTCGCATCGGTGCGACAGTCCCTTAATGTGCATATGTGCGGGTATATGGCGTTTTTGATAAGAAAAAGGCTACACACATGCATGGGTACTCGTATAGAGGAAGCTATGAAAGTGGCTTAGGGTGTGTTGCAAAGGAGGCCACGATGTGCAAAGGAGTTTCATTAAATTGAAACGAATGTGCGCAGGCTAAGTGGCGAAGATGATGGCACATTATTGCTACATTTTCCGGGTGTAAATTGTAGGACACTTCATAAAAATTGACGTACATATGAAGCACACTATTGAGTTACACTAAGAACTAAATTCGTCTAAAGGTTCAATTAAACTTAATGACTTCAATGTTTATAAATACTATTTCAAACCAGAAGAAATTGAAAATTCTTAAATATTTAAAAAGTTTAAAATGAAAGGTTTTAATTATGCTAAGCCGGAACATAAAATACACTTTGTTGAATTATTGCTATCAAAATAGGACCATTTCTAACCCCTCTTTTAATAAAATTCCTCCACGAGCCATTATTAAAAATACAGCTAACGTGGATTTTTGCACTTTTCATCACACAAAACATAATCACAAATCACATTTATTCATGCTTATTGCAGCGCCGAACATAATGAAAATCTTTCTCGCTCTCCCCATTTTAATCCTGCCACACACACACTATTCTTTGGCCGGGGTACAAAAGGCATTTCCCTGCCGCTTTCCACCGACCATTTTCCAACCCATCGTGTGCATTGTCGCCACGGAAATCCGCCATGTTGGCTGCTACTTCTGCTTCATGGAGAAACCCAGTGCATATTAGTACCGCTCACACACACTCATAACAATAAAACTCGCTTCGTATTATTTAAATTTTCAAGTTATATACGTGTATAGAAAACGCTATTATTTTTTTCTTTCTTATTATTTACCTGCTTGGCACTAGCACAATAAGCCATAGAAAAGCGTTACAATGCCAAGCTGGCAGGGAAATAACAAAAGTTGCCAAGAATCAGCAAATAACTCTGCCAAGTTATGCCTCCATCCTCCGCCCCCTATTTTCCACCCGAGTCCATGGAATTTTCTTTATGCGCTTGGCTAAAACTTTTTTCCTGCATTTTCCTTGCAATCTGTTGAGCGAAAATCTTGTTTATTTCCCTCTTTTTTGGCAAACTCTTTGCCGCGTTGCGTCTTTGTTTCAATTGCAATATTTGCCTACACGGGCTAAGGGTTAGCCTCTGCTACCTGTTTACAATTCACTTTGCCGCTCTTGAGAAATTACACATGCTTCACCCCCATTTTGGTTCATTTCATTTTCTTTCCTTTCATTTCTCTTCTATTTTCTTCGTTTTTTTTCTCGCTGCCCCTTTTTTTATATATCGCTCGTATTTCTTTGTGTTCTTTGAGGGGGCAGGTAAATCGTCTGCTTTATTTGCCCGGTACTTCAGCCGACCTTCCACCACCCATAGCTCCCCCCTTTTCCGCAAAAAAAATCCACACGCCTCTAATAAGCGTCCGTCAGCTTGGGGTTCCCCTCGTTTACCGCTTCTTGTTTGCCCCAACCAAAAAAAAAAAAGAGAAAAAACAAGGAGGAGCACAACAACATGATTGGAATTTTCCGGTGCAGACATTTTTTGCAAAGGTAGTAGAAGGAAAAAATGCGACCCCTGCATTACTGCTTTACCTTTCTCTTTCCTCGGCCTTTTATTGATTTCTTTCAACTTTAACCATTTTTTGTGTGCATGTTTAGTGGAAATTATAAGCTGAGGCATTTCGTTAGCTCAAGAAATTAAAATAGCTAACTTGATAGAGGAAAGGGGAAATTAATGCCTACTAAAATAGATTACTCAACGAATATTTAAGCGCTAAAAATTAGGTTTAAATAAATTATAACAATTATTGTATAGCATTTTAATGTTCTCTTAAAGCGTATGCATTTTGTGCCAGACTTTGGCCTTGCCTTGAAACTGCTTTTCCGGCTGATTGCATTTGAATGGCTTAACTGAAATCCGAGAGCCTTAAATTACAAAAGGGGGCTTCCCTCCTCCTATTCCTTTATCACCCAAACCACTATCCATTAGTTGAAATAACAAAAGGCAAAAGTTTCGGCAAAACCGACCGAAAAAGCCAAAGCACAAACAAGCCAAAAAGGAAAACAAAAATTTCTCATGCTCCCTTCTATATTTTCTGTGTGTTTCAGCTGGCATCAAGTATACGGACAACCAGCGTGTGATAATCCTGGTGAAGGATGTGAACGACGAGCCACCGTACTTCATCAACCGCCCACTGCCCATGCAGGCGGTGGTTCAGCTGAATGCACCACCCAACACGCCGGTTTTCACGCTCCAGGCCCGAGATCCCGATACCGATCATAATATCCACTATTTCATCGTTCGCGATCGAACTGGCGGACGCTTTGAGGTGGACGAGCGATCTGGAGTGGTGAGGACCAGGGGCACGGATCTTTTCCAGCTGGATATGGAATATGTGCTGTACGTGAAGGCCGAGGATCAGAACGGAAAGGTTGACGATCGCAGGTTCCAGAGCACTCCAGAGGAGCGGCTCTCGATTGTGGGTGGCAAACGAGCCCCTCAATTCTACATGCCCAGCTATGAAGCCGAGATACCAGAGAACCAGAAAAAGGACTCAGAGTAAGTCAAAATAAAATCGAAAAAACGGACTAAAAAAGCCACAAAATGCTAAATAGGAACACTGGAAAATCTTTATTTACTTTAAATGTACTTCAATTGGGGTTTCCTTCGTTTTCCTATTTAAAAAAAGACATTTAAAGGACGAGAAAACGGTGTTTAGTATATTTAAATAGAAAAAAACTTTTGGTCACGCTAAACTCCAAAATTTAAATTATTCAAAAATTTGGAGTCCAAATAAAAAACATTTTTGGTACAGTGTATGCAAATTTTGTGGGCTGCCAATAAAAGTTATGCATAACAATGTGAACTAGACGGCGACCATGTGTGTGTGTGTGCTCGTCCTGTTCTGTGTGTGTGTGTGTTTGTCTTCATTGAAATTCCGATGGGAAAACAACTGTCAAAAGGCAGTGGAGCGAGTGACAAGCACACACACATAAAGAGCTTGAAGTGTCCTGTAGATGGACATAAAATATGCAAGCAAATTTTACATTTCCCTCCGCTAACTTTTTCCATATCCGTATCCTTTCAGCATCATTTCGATTAAGGCCAAGTCGTTCGCAGACCGCGAGATTCGGTACACTCTGAAGGCCCAGGGCCAGGGAGCCGGCACCTTCAACATCGGACCCACGTCGGGCATTGTCAAGTTGGCCAAGGAGTTGGACTTTGAGGATCTGCGACAGCCGCACGTGTACTCGCTGATTGTGACAGCCACCGAGGACTCCGGAGGATTTTCTACCTCCGTCGATGTGAGTGAATGGGAAATCCTTGTCGAGCGGTTACTGAACAGAAAAGATGGGGAAGAAGCTTTATCATATATTTATTCTATTGAAAAAAAATTATTCCACATGGAAATGAAATCCTAAAAAACGATGAACAAATATTTGAAAAACTCTTAAAATCAGAAGAAGAACATAGATTGCGCTAAAAAATATCTATAATAAGATAAATGATAAAGCTTTTAAACAATCTTTTCAGTAGCTATTGCTATAAATATACAAAAAAAACATAGACTCACCCACAAAATATATATTTTTCAGCTCACCATACGCGTTACGGACGTGAACGACAATGCCCCGAAGTTCGAGCTGCCGGATTATCAGGCCCACAATGTGGACGAGGATATTCCACTGGGCACCAGCATCCTTAGGGTTAAGGCTATGGACTCGGATTCAGGATCGAATGCTGAAATCGAATACCTAGTATCCGATGACCACTTCGCCGTGGACTCAAACGGAATCATCGTGAACAACAAACAACTGGATGCGGACAATAATAATGCCTACTACGAGTTCATAGTCACTGCCAAGGACAAGGGTGAACCGCCGAAGTCTGGAGTGGCTACGGTTCGTGTTTACACCAAGAACAAGAACGACGAGGAGCCCAAGTTCTCACAGCAAGTGTATACGCCCAATGTGGACGAGAACGCGGGGCCGAATACTTTGGTTACCACTGTGGTGGCCTCTGATAAGGATGGCGACAACGTGAGGTTTGGATTCGTGGGCGGCGGCACATCGTCGGGCCAGTTCGTCATCGAGGACATAACCGGTGTGATCCGACTGCATAACAAAGCCATATCCCTGGACAGGGACAAGTACGAGTTGAACGTCACCGCCATGGACGATGGATCCTGTTGTGTGAACGGCGATCAGACCATCCACACATCGACCGCCGTGGTCGTCGTTTTCATCACCGATGTCAACGACAATAAGCCGGTGTTCAAGGACTGCAGCACCTATTATCCGAAGGTCGAGGAAGGAGCCCCCAACGGAAGTCCCGTCATCAAAGTCGTGGCTACCGACGAGGATAAGGGTGTGAATGGACAGGTAAGAATTATAGATCATATAAAAGTAAAAGATTATGGCTGAATAATACTCTATCGATTTGGTAAAAATCTATGTTTGGCCTATAATTGCATTCCGCTTATAAAGTATTTATAAAATAAAAGCTTTTGACCGATATCAACTACCTCTAATCTCGATTGGGCACTGGGAAAGTTCCATTCATTTGAGCATTAACCAATTTAGATGTACAAACTATACCCTTGCCATTACCAATGGCAAAGCACTCTTCAAGGCCTCTTTTGATTATCCTTTCCCTAATTACTTTCCCCCGTTCGCTCGACAAGCCTGATTAATTATACGTTATTTGTGTTTTGAGGCCAACGCAAACATGATTACCCACACCTAATTGAATTACCTGCATGTGTGTGTGGAAGCGATGGGAGATTTCATGACGAGATTTGGCCATAATTTTCTTTTCGTGCCCGCCAAGTTCAATGCACTGCAAAGTGCATGTCGTGTGTGGAGGTCGAACGGCTCAACAGCTCTAATCGCAATTTGTGTCAATCACTAAACAATTTTGCATGTTCTTGCGACAGGTGAAATACTCGATAGTTCAGCAGCCCAATCAGAAGGGGACTAAGTTCACAGTCGACGAGGAAACCGGAGAGGTGTCCACCAACAAGGTGTTTGATCGTGAGGGAGACGATGGAAAATTCGTATCGGTAACAGTGAAGGCCACAGATCAGGGTGATCCGAGTCTGGAGGGAGTCTGCTCCTTCACCGTGGAGATCACAGATGTCAACGATAATCCCCCGCTCTTTGATCGGCAGGTGAGTCATCTGAATAGCAGTACATTTCCCTAACTAACTACATAAACCATAAAATTTCAGAAATACGTTGAGAACGTTAAACAGGACGCCAGTATTGGCACAAATATCCTGCGCGTTTCCGCCTCCGATGAGGATGCCGATAACAATGGTGCCATAGTATACAGCCTAACTGCCCCGTTCAATCCCAACGACCTAGAATACTTTGAGATTCAGGCCGAATCCGGCTGGATTGTGCTCAAGAAACCGCTTGACGTAAGTGTTTGCTTTTCATTTGGGCCCTAGAATTTTAAAACATCTATTACCCCATTTATGAGTTTGCCAAGTCCCAACTAACCAAGTCTTTTAATTTAAATTCAAAGTTTTTATTTATAAAAAAACGTTATGGTTTTACTAACTACTTCAATGACAGGTGCTTAGCATCTAGCAAGTTCTAGTCAGTTCTAGCGGCTTGTACCTATATCTTTCTATCTTATCATTGCGATTATTGTTTTCCTTTCAAACTGCACCTTTCTTTTCATTTGTATTTCAATACTTTACAAGTCCGCAAAAAAGTCTTAGGCAAAATAGGATATGATGTGCCAGCAGTGCAATTTTTTTTGCCACATCCATCGAAATCTGCGTTTATATATAATACAACTTGAGCAAATGTTTTAAGTTTATTCCCATTTTTTGTTTAGTTTATAGTGCGTAAAATTGGCCAAAGAATGAAACCTACCACGCGCAAAGAATGCCAAAGAAGCAAATTGATTTTTAACATTTTTTGAAACAAATCAAAACTAACACAAATAAATCGAAAACCTTAAGTATCAGAAGTTGGGATAAACATGCTTATAACAGTTCATCTGCTTTTTTGTTGGTGCCAGGTTTATAGGCTTAAGAAAAATTTAAATATATACAAATTGCAGAACGAAAAGAGTACCCCTATACGATCACGAATATTTTTGAGCATCGTTGTAACCTAGTTTTGAAGGTTCTAACCGAAAGATTCTAAAATTTAGCTTTATCTTATAAAATATCATTATTTTGTATTTACTCCTTATAATTTTTCCTCATACAAAACTTCCCCAAAAAAATCCCGAGACCAAAATGAAACAAATACTTTTTGTCGAGACTATGCAATTTTTTGAACGTCTCTTGCTGAAAGCTTTAAGTATTTTTGCCTTAGCTGTAACCTACATTTTTGAAACCAATGTTTATACAAATTTTTGAAGAACATTTCATTTTGCATGCCCATGGAAATGAGGCCAATTCGTTTATGGATATTACTAGGATATATTAAAGTATTTTTGTTTTAACTGCACCTTACTCTTTTGTTTTCTCTAATTTTCTAACTATTTGAGAAGGAAAGCGATCGAGGCATTTTAATGGTTTCAATTTTTATTTACCATTTATCTTTACATATCCAAAATTATGGTACTCGAAAATAAAACAATTTAGGGTTGTTATCCAGTAAGTAAATACAATTACTGTAACTGTGCTAAACCCCTAAAAATCATATTAAAAACGAAGACTGTAAGCTAACCTGAAAAACGAAACTAACTCAAGGACCATACTATACTTCATTAAATGTAAATAGTTGAAACACTGTGAGTTTCACTTCATCTCAGGGCAACTCAGAAAAGACAAGGAAATAGTCTCGTCAAAAGAATCCAATCATTTATGTGAACCGACCCACCGAATTCCTAGTTACAATGCTATTACCCATACTAATCCTGTCCCATTCCCAAATGTTTAAATATATCCCTTATTTAACCAATGTTCAGTTATAAACTTAATTTGTTTTGTGTTTTATATATTTTTAACGACATTTGATTGATATAAATCATAAACAACGATGCCATCAAATGCAGGTGCATAAGGTTGGCAGAATAACTTTTGTAATTCAATCCTTTTCCTTGTCGACAATTGGCCGTTACCTACCATTTGGTTTTAAATTATTTCTGTCAATAGGAAAAAGTTACCGTTTCAAGAGTTGTTTTGCCAACATTATGTACTTATCAAATACGTAATCGTAACGCGAACCCAATACAAAAACCAAACGTAACCAATGCTTACATTTTGGGTTCGGTTCTCGACTACTCCTTGCAATGTTAACCCCGTCTTGCTGTTGACGCTAACATTTTGGTCCCAAACTGTACTACTGCTTCAATCGAAATTCACCCAATCAATCAAATCAATCAACAGCGTGACCGTTATCGCTTGAGGGTTAGCGCCTCCGATAAGGGCACTCCCGCCTCGGCAGCCGATGTCGACGTTGAGTTAGATGTCGTCGATCGGAATAATAAGCCTCCCATTTGGGATAAGAGCATTTACGGGCCGATTCACATACGCGAGAATGTCACTGTGGGTACGGTTGTAACATCGGTTAAGGCAAGGTTTGTATAGCCAACGAGAACTCAACCTAACACTAAAACTAATAAACCTAACTTGCGAGTCTAACAGTTTAGATACCATTTTTTAACAATAACAGTGGAATAACAATTGGCTAACCTAACATTAAGCTTTCATGTATTTTTAACATACGGTCTTTTCACTGTTGGAGGAGCTTTGCAATGCAAATACTCCCTTTTTGGTGTATCGTAAAAGCTGTTAGCGAATACGGCAACCCAAAGTCCTTAAAAACCTGAAAAACCAATTAAAAATGGACAAAATTCGAAATCTTAAAAATCTTTTGTTGCTGGTGTGTACTTGATTTTGCTGCGGCAATCAGTTTTTTCATATGATTGCCCCTTCAGGATCTTTTTGGATTTTGTCGAGTCTTTTCCCCTTCTCTCCACCAAAAAACACACATTACCAATCGGATCTGTGATTTTCCCTTTCAAAGACTCAAATCCCCTACATAAAATTAAAGCCTGGAATATTGTGAGAATCGTTATGAAATTTTTGGTGTCGGATTTCATTTGAAAAATACGCTTCTTAATCCCAATCCATTGTGTAAAATAATAAGCCAAAAAAGGTTGCAGTTTAGTTTTTAGTTGTAAGCTAGAGGAGGAAAGGTAACTACACAAAATGTTCAAAAATGTTAAAAAGCAATAGTCGAAATCGAAAATAATTATAACCGCAGCAAACTGTGTAAAGTATGCTATGAAAATTGTATTTATAAATTGCACAAAACCCTATATTAGTTTATTAAATTAAACATTTCGTTGACATTTTAATTTTAATGCTATAAATATTTATTCAAAGAACAATACATTTCTTTTTGAAGGCTAGGGTCGAGACTATGAAAATGTTTTGCACTGCATTTAAAAATACTTTTTAACTAAGGCCTTAAACTTTAAATACTTTCTTTTTTCCCGTTATTCAATTAATTTCTAACTTTTTTAACAAGAGGTGTTGGTTTACAGTTTCATTTTGATTTTTAACCAAGAAAAAATTATTATATTTAAACCTTTTTAGATCTTCCTTGAACGAAAGGTTTCAACTATATTATATTTAATTTTGTTTTTTGCATTTTTCCTGAACAAATATCGTATTTACCAACCAATATCGACGCGTCTGTCATTTTTGCAACGCCTTGCTTGATTTTGAAAATAAAAACCAAACGATTTTTGATAATATTGATCGTGAAATGTATATAAAATACAGCGCGAGACATACAAGTTAGAGGCCATGGCCCAAGACAAGGGCTATCCGCCATTATCGCGTACTGTTGAAGTACAAATCGATGTGGTCGATCGTGCAAACAATCCGCCCGTTTGGGATCATACTGTCTATGGGCCCATTTATGTCAAGGAAAATATGCCCGTTGGCGGCAAAGTCGTCTCGATCAAAGCCAGGTCTGTTCATTTTTCGTGCAAAAAAGTTTATAACAAAAAAAAATCAAACATGAAATAAATTTCATTCCATTTTGCTTAGTTCATTTTTAAAAATTACATACAAATAATTTTTTTTTTAATAGCTCTAGATGTTTTCTTTGGTCATATATTATTGTTTGTTTGTGTCATTAAGCTTGCCGATCATTTCTGTGTGTTCTGAATGTTTGCTCTAGATGTTCCTTAGATATTGCAATGTCTTTTGAGTGGTGTTCTGAATAATTGCGTAATACTCACCAACGCTCTCCTCGGATCTTCAGTTATTTTATTTTATCACCCAACTAGCTTCCACTTTCCCTATGTCATTTCTTCCCATAGAACCCTCATCTTTTATAAAAGCACTCCAAACTGCACCAGTGAAATATACACTTTATATATGCTGATTACCGCACAAGACACACATGTATATTAAAAAGCACATATTTATAATTTTTTTTGAAACTTATTTCTTATTACGAAAAATATATTTAAAACGCTAGGAATTCGTATTCGTTTTTATTTGAAAACATTTAAAAAACGTATATATCTATATACAATACAATATAAATCGGATACTTTAATTTTGTGGAACTGTTTTGAGAAATACCAGTATATTTTTCCCACAATAATCGGGGCCTTTATCAAAAGAACTATAACTTTTTCCCTTGCGCTCATGCAAGTGCTGCTTAAACTTGAAATGGCATACAAGCCGCTTTTGTCGCCAACCTGTGCCGCATGATGAGCTGGGTCAGTTTCAATTACCTGCCACTTAGTGCCAGCCAGCGGCAAAAAAGTAAAATATACAAGTCGCCTTCTGAAGGGAAAAGGAAGATTGCGAAAAAAAGGAAAGTTTATTTTAAACAAAGTTTTGTTTTTTATAATTGCAATTAAAAAACTTGGAGCAGCGGACTTTAATGACTTTTGACCCCCCGCGACACTATTCTGCTTTGAATCTCCGCGGGCATCGTTTTATCTTCGTGGCAACCAACCACATGGCACTGGCATTTTAATTATGCGTCAGTCCGAGTCAGTTTTTATATTATCCAATCCTATTTTTTACCATGCACTTTCCTCTCTATCTCGCCGCACTAAAAGCAAATGCACTTAAGCCGAAAGGCCACGCTAAAAATAAAAATAAAAACAAAAGTAAATAGATTATAAAAAAGCGAAAATACTGCACATACGCACCTGCACATACCTGAGCCTGATTCTGAATCTGTATCTGCTGTTTAGCGTTAGTTTAGTGCCCTTAAGTACACTTCCCTTCTGTTCCCCAGCGCAATATTAAGGAAATTACAATCTATTAAACGTGCTTGGGTTCTGCTTTCTGTTCTTCTTTTCTCGCCTCTGTTTTTTATGTGTTTAAATTATTTCGAATGAAGAGCATTTTCATCCTGAGTTTTCTCTTCGCAATTATCTGGTCATGTCCCAGCACAGAAATTTGTTAACAATATGTATATATACATTGGGCGCCATTAGGAGAGGGTTTAAGTGTTTGGGAGGGCGGGTTGGAGGACTCCCTAGTGTGCGCGTATATCATAATAATTGTGTTTACTCTTGGGGCGCCGCCAGTCCTTAAGGGCTCCAAAAACAAGCGCAACAAGGTCGAGGGCACAATACATATACATCTATAGTGCCACAGAGATCTTTTAGTTAGAAGTGTGGATTTTAATTTTATCATTATTTTAATTCTTTGAAGTCAATAGATATTAGTTTAGGCTTTAAGCAAACTGCAAACAACCTACAAAATATATACTTAATGTGCTCAGTGTACAGAAGCAATAAGTACATCATTTTCAAACACTTATTTTAGGTTTTCCAACACAACCAATGATATTAAAATAAACTCACACCAATCACAGAACAATTACAGAACCAAACGAAACCCCCAAGAAAATTTCATGCAATCCACAAATTTCCCCACCATTTTCCCCACCCACCATTCCTCCATGAATTTTTTTTGTTCGCAACAATAATTTTTTGTGCCGTTTTTTGTCCTTGGCAACATTTTGCGCAGTCCTGACAGTTTTCATTTATTCTTAAGACCCGTTCTTAAGGTTTTTTTTCGCCGCCCCCTTCTGTCAGTCGCAAGTGTTGTCCGGGCTAAAATAATATACAAATACATACATTTTTTATATATACACTATGTATATATTTTGCTCTTTTTTGCGCCTAATTTGATTTTCATTATCATGTGCCGAACCCATTCCCGAAACAGCTAAATGGCAATTAGATTTTTTGAGGCCATTTGGTTTATATTCGGTTCGTTTCTTTTCGGTTTTCACTTTTTTAATTGCACAAAAGACGCTTTAAGAAATTTTGTTGTGTAAACGTTTTTAAAGCGCACAAAGCAAATTTTTGGCTGCACATAATTTTAGAGAAAGAATTTCATTCATGCGTCGCCTTTTTGTATTTTGCCATGTCGCATGTGTTTATAAATGAAACAAAGACATATTTTTGTGTGTGTGAATGTATGAATGTTTTTTGGGCAAGGGAAAGCTAAGTAAACTTAAGGAAAATCAAATTGTCCTTAATTTATACCTTTTCCTTGCTCCTTTGATATATAACCAATTGATTTTTGATAAACTTAATATATATTTAACAATTTAATTTGTAGTATAAACATAATTTGATGTAGAAAGTATTTAACAACACTGTACTTAAAATGTTGTAAATACCAGTTTACTAATATTATTTTTGGTTTTCACTTGACCTTTGGCCACAACGTCTGCAGTTCGGGTATTGAAGGCAATCCCACAGTTTTTTATCGACTGATGCCCGGGTCGACGGCTCAAACGAACAAATTTCACACGTTCTACTTGCAACAAAGACCGGACAACGGCGATACTTGGGCCGATATAAAAGTAAATCATCCGCTGGACTACGAAAGCATTAAGGAATACAATCTAACCATACGTGTTGAGGTAAGTTGGGACACAGAAAAAAACCCGAAAAATAAAAAACAAGCCTCTAGCGAATTCAATTTAAAGTTGCCAAATGTTTGCACAATTCTCAGAAGGCAGCCGAAAGTTTTCAAGTCGGTCTTAGGCCCAATTAGACATGTATTTGACTTTTGTATTTGAGAATGACTTCCAAATACGTTTGTAATTATTTGATTTGAAAAGTTTTAATTACTTGCGCGAGTTTCCTGCCCGGAAAATGCAAATGCGAGCTCCGGCTCGCTTCGAATTCATTAGAAACTAGCTGATTGAGTGACTGAAGGGTGGATTGACTGATTGACTGACTGACAGCTCGCGGCTGAACGGTAATCAATTGCATTCCCAATCAATGTCAAGTTTTAGCGTTTCCTCATTAGTTTGCCCATTCAGCGAAGGACAAATTGAAAGCCAGACTAAATAAACCGCCTGCTGAAATATTAATGGGAATTCCGCCGCTAACCGCAGTGCATCGCGACAAACTTGCTTAATGAAATGTTATAAAAATTCAATTGCGAAAAGGATTTCCACGATTTTGCACTCGATGTGCAGGTAATTAAATATCACAAGGTTTCAGTTTCATTGCCTGCAAATGACCCACTAAAAGCTATTGGTCCTCGGTGGGCTTAAATCTTTCGCTGGGTAGCCAAATGAATTTTCAAATGAATTTGGAAAATAGATTGCGGTTTTGGGGAAGCCATGAATGTGTATATTTCCGCACATTAGTTTGACAATATATTCGTATTAATTTTTAATTCATTTTTTTTGGGTCCTGCGGTTAAGAAACATGTCAAATATATTTTTTTTTTGACCTGCGGTTGGCGCTAAAATTGTTAAATAATTTAGATTTTTAATAAATGTGCCGGTGGACATTTAAGATAATTTCTTTAAAAAATCTAAATAGTATTTTAATTCTAAATAATTCATTTATCAGTAAATAAGTTCAGAAATTATAGAAAGGCTAAAGCTTGTGTGAAGTAGAAATTATGTCTAGCTGACAACTAATCAAAGTTCTAGGCCAAAACCCCATCATGGTCAATAACAAGTCTAATTAAGGGCTTGGCCAAACGCATGTGTTTACCCAGGAAAATGGAACGAACATAAAATAAATAATTCATATCGGCACTCCTCTCCATCAGAGTCCTTGCTGCTGTCAACATTAGTGTAAACATGTGTTGATATACATACATACGATATATATATATATCGATTTCATATGCATTGATTAATAACGTAATGTAGAAATGTGAATGCCAAATATTGTGCAAATAAACGTATTGGACAGGAATATTAGCAGGGCCAAACGGCAATCTGGCCATAAAACAACTAATAAATGACAAGTTGCCAGTGAGATTTGTTCTATTGATTGATGGCAAGTGAGTAATCAATCATCGGACAAAGGGTGAAACCGACACTTGTCTCACATACCCATCAACACAAATATGGAAAAACAGGCTTTACTTATATTTAACGTGAACGAGTGATTTTCCCACAACCCAGAAGTATTTCAAACATTTTTTAATCAGCCAACTTTTATTGCAAATTAATATACAAATATTTTATCAGGAGAAAAAAGCGGTCAACGGAACTCGTTAAACACACTTTATTGCTTAATTAAAAAACAAACAGTTGGCAGACCTAAAAAAAAGTTATGAAAAATCAAATACACCCTTTTTTAAATTGGTTTTCCATCCATTCTCTTTCGCCTCTCTTTTTGCAGAACAACGGGGCCCAGCAATTGGCATCGGAAGCGACCGTTTACATAATGCTCGAGGATGTTAATGATGAAATACCTTTATTCACCGAACGCGAACAGGAAACGGTGCTCGAGGGCGAACCGATTGGCACCAAAGTGACACAAGTGAACGCCATCGACAAGGATGGCACATTCCCAAATAATCAGGTGAGTACCAGTTCCCCTCGCGAAATGGGGGGAAATCGGCGGAAATGCCAGACGATTGCTATAGCAAATTAAAGGGAGAGAGGAAAAAGGAACTAAGTGACTGGCACAAAGGTGAAAGGTGAAAGATTAAACCGATTAAGAAGTCTCTTAAAGATGGAATTAAATTATCGATTGTTTGTGGAGTTTTTAAATTAATAATTTAAAGTAAAGGACTAGGAATCACTTCGTTAGCTTAATTTAAATTTTGAAATATTGGATTGGGTTTTATTTAATTTCCTATTTTACGCAACCGATTAAAATTATCTTGAATTTTCGTATTATAAACCTAGTAAAGCATCTTAAATTTAATTTCCTGGGTGCCCTTAAAATCAGCTATCAACTTGCAATTCCTCTCAAAGAAGCCTTCTTAAATCTCCTTAAATTACCATTATCTCCGCCATCTCTGTGTTTCACCCAGTTCTGGATTCATTCAGAGCTTTTTGTCGCCCCACCTTAATTTAACTCACCCCACTTTCACCGACCCTTTCACGCCTTTGTAATTGTTTTTTGCTCCTTCGCTGACCACGTCCTTCGTCCATTTGGCCATCAGCTGGCAGCTGGCTAATAAATGTCAAAGAGTTAACATTTTTGCACGCCTTCCAAGTGTGTGCTAAGCCCTTGCTGAAAGACCGTGATGAAGGGGGGCTTTGGGGAAAAACTAATGCAAAATGCAGAACGCAGAACGCGGACAACCGCAGGCGATGGCTTTTGTGATGAAAGGTTGGAGATGGGCGATGGGTCGGGTCTTTCAGACAGTCCCCTCAAGCCGCTCTTGCGATTATAATAATATGGCACTTTGGCGTTGGCCATTCTTTGTTTTTTTTTTGTAGTCTTCAGCCAGCCACAATTTGTGTCCTCAAGCCAAGTAATTTGCATGTACGCGCGAAATGTCCGCACTAATTAGCGTTTTCATTTATAGTCCCGCCTTCCCCCCCAAAACGGTCACGGGATTTGATTATCATTATCGTTCCTCTTTAATGTCCGAAGCAGTAATTAAATTTCTCTCATTTCCTCGCTCTTGCGACTCGAGTTAAATTCTTAATTTGTCTCCTTTTGATGTTATGCATGTGTATCAGAGCCATGTTTTAATTAACCAGAAAATCGAGCAGACATAAAGCGGAAAACCTTGTGTGTTTCAGGTCTACTACTACATTGTCGATTCGCCGCGAAACGAGGGCAAAGAATTCTTCGAAATCAACCTGCAAAGCGGAGAGATATTCACGAAAACCGTTTTCGACAGGGAGAAGAAGGGCGCCTATGCCCTCGAAGTGGAGGCACGAGATGGAGCTCCCTCAGCTCGACCCAATAGCAATGGACCCAATTCAGGTAAGCGATAAATATTGAACTCCCCCCCGGCCATTTTTATTAGCCAAAACCGAAAAAACATAGATAAATACAGTGGTCGTCGAGACTGAGAGTCTAGTGCTTATTTGTTTGTCCCATAGAAAAATAAGTTAAATTATATTCACATTTTGAACATCAATTCATTTAAAGGCTTTCCAGCTAAAAAACAATTTATTAAAATCATTAAAAATATGAATTTAAAAAAGTTACTTTAAATGCAAAATTTGGATTTTTACAAATTTATAGCTATTTATAGCCATGTATTTATACACAAACAAGTCCTGAAAACGCGAAACGAAGTCCAGTTACATATATTTTTTCAAACTTTATATAAATATATTTATGCAAAGTGGCAAACTTTTATTGGTCCAAGATTGCAAAATGCATAATATAGTTTAGAAACAAATTGCTGAGTTCTTGAGTGCCACCGAAATTCGCTACAAATGGCAGCAAATAAATTTAGCTCGAAATTCCCCAAAAAGCAGCAACGAATTCGCTCTCCAAATATTGACTAGCCCATCTGTGTGAGTGAATGTGGCTGTGTGGGTGGACCCAACTGGGCGAGTGTGTGTGCGTGGGCGAGTGTGTTTAGTCGAGTGCATTTGGGGCATTTTATTTATGCGGCATGTTGGCCAGGCATTTGCCACATTTGGCGTGGCGGACATCAAAAACATTTTACGTCAGCCGGGCCTCCTGAGTTTGAATGGTTAAGCTGCTTGGAAAAATATTTGACATAGGTGCGGATTGTTGACGGGGTTAGAACAGATTGCCAGGATGTCAGGGCATTCGAAAACTAAAAGCATTTAAACTGGGTGTGATTTAAAAGAATTACTAAACCAAATAAACGAAAGTGCTTGGCAAGGGGTAAAATTGAGTACTTATCCATTAGAAAATGTTTTAGTTAGTCTTTAAATTAGCACATTAATATTAGTTATTTAAATAGCCAGCTTTTCTGTTTAGCTTTTTATTCAAAACACTTGGTCAACTCAAAATATAATGAATTGATATGAAACGATGGTCAATTTAGTATCAATTTTGACTTGATATCCGGCATCTCAAATTGGCTTTGTTTCTCCCTCACACTCCCAATACCAGTATTGCATAGTAAAAACGATAAGATTATAAATACTAGATTTTTACCCCGACGTGTTTTTCGCACTTCGCAATTATTCCAAATCGTCAACAAAAAAAAAACATTTTGTCGCTGAATCAAAATTAGCAATTAGGCGCATGTCAGAAATGTAATTTTCCAAATTTGATTTGTAACTTTTGGCATGTAGCATGTTGCTCCTTTTTTCATTTGTTACACATTTCTATGGGTAAGCCTTGGCGTCATTCTTATTTGCTGTTCATTAAAAATCGCCCCTGAAATGGCAATCAATTTTCTCCGCTCCTCCACTTTCCCATTGTTGGTTTTTATATTTTTTGTTTTTGTTGTGTTGCGGCAGTCTGTAAAAATGCTTTTCAATTGTTTAATACGTCACTAAGCCGTACATAAGCTCGTGGTAAATGGAAACGGCGAAAAAATAGACTCGGTAGCGGGCCACATTGAAAATGATGTGCAATCAACATGAGCGGGGCTTTTGGCCATGAAAACGAAAATTAAAAAGTTTCCATGTTTGTTTGGAAAGGGAAAGAGAGGCAGAGATATATATATATGTAAATTAGAACAGTTGCTTACAAATATTGATATTCATGTTGAGCGAAAAAGTTGTGGCAAGGTTTTTGGGTTTTCCAGGAGGCCGGGCGCTTTTTCGGTGGCTCATTTTTAAGGCCAGGTTCTGGCAACAGCTTGTGGTTTCGCAATTTTCCCGGCCAAAACAAACAGGCCTCGCTGAGTTGGGATCTTGTTTAGAGAAAAGGCAATAAACTATTGTTAAAAGCCTGTACCCTGCGATGATTTGTTTTCCGTTTCTATTTTGTTCGGCATCGGTTTCGTTTTCATTTTCATTTTCTGCTGATGCAATGCAAAAGTTTTCCGGCTTTTATTTATTGGTTTTAATTGATGTTGCCTTATTTGTTTTTACACGGCTGAGCACCAACAAATATATATGTATCTCTCTCTGGGGGCGGTATGAAAAATTGTTTTGACTGAACTGAAAAGCAGAAATATTTACATATGTAATTGAGTGTATTTCAGGCATCAATAGTAGTGCTTCATTTATATCATTGATTTGACCCAGAAACACTGAAATTTAAGACTTTCTTTGCAGAGAAGAAGGTTTCCAAATATTACAACAAATATATGTACTTAGTATTCTACTGAGAAATTAAAAATCTCTGAACCAATATACAGTGCACAATATACTTTGACAAGAAAATTGTATACCTACGTCATCGGCTTTTATAAAAATCATCTTGTAAAATTAAACATTTTTAATGAATCACTTACTTTGAAACGTAATTGAATTGGGACAATCATATTTAAATATTTTTCGACCTTTAAAAAATTGAAATTGAAATGGATTTCTTTGAGAGTTTTTACTCCTCTAGACTACATCAATCCTTCTGCTAAGCTTGTGCAACTTGATTTAATATTGTTTGTACCTCCGTTAGGTGCCCAGGATTTTTCTTTGCCGTGGTGCTGGCTTTTGTTCAATTTTGCTTCAATATTTGTCTGTCACTCCTGGCGCCTTGCATTGGCTTCACTCTGCTTTTTTTATTTTGTATCATTGTTTGTTGATATTTGCATTCCGTTTTTCTTTTTGCACTTATTGTGCCTTGATGTTTCTGCGATGCTTTGACTGCATTTGTGTGCAATTTCGCTTTCCTCGATGGCGCGGAGTTTTTCCAACCGCCCATTGTGCGGTTTCCCTGGATTCCGTTTTACATTAGTGCCGGGCAACTCATTTTATTTGGCCTTTGTTATTGTTTGGCTTTGAGCAATTCTCCTTTTTGTCCTGCGACCTTGTGACCCATTTAAATGCCAACAGTTTTGCCACAGCTGCGTTCCGGCTTGCATTTTCCGCTCCATTGGCAAACAGACCCGAAGCGAAAAATCATTTGCCTAAATAACAAACATATCTGTTATCCCACACGCACACAATTGTACGAACCCAAAAATCACACACAGATACAGGGGCACTGAGAGAAATTGAGATTGAGAGTGGGGAGTTTTCAGGAAATAAAATATTTCTATTTTAATAACAGATTTATTTAGGAAAATATGAATAACAATAACCGTTGTATTAAGTAATGTGAATAAAGTTTTAACGACCAAAATATTTTTATTTTACATTTCAAAATTTAAATTTTTATACCCTGATAACTAATGTTAATTTTAGTCATTTCGAACTAATTCAAGAGAGTTTTTTGAAAAGATTTTATTTCTTTTTCTCTGTACACAGTTATCGATGTCTTGTTTTTCCTGGCTGCTTTTCTTGCTTTCCTTTCCGTTTGTTGTTTGGTTATCTGTGGAACGTGCTCTTTTTAGTTATGCATACTTTTAGGCTTAGCAGCAGCCTCTCTGCACGTACCACATCCTTTTGGCTTCCCCGGGCATAAATGCGCCAACAGGGAAACCAAAGCGCCAGACAAACAAAACATGACAAATGTCGGAAAGTTAAATTTTAAGCGTCACTGGGCAGTATAAAAGAGTTATTCAGGAAAAATAACCCCGATGGAAATTATTATTTATCCAAGGGCCGAAAATTGAGCCACTGCCAGGGGCAAATTAATCCCTTCCTCTTTAGGCACTCGTAAAAATCGCATTAAATAAAATAAGCAGCATTTGCATGACATACTCGAGTGAATGGCCATGGGCAACCTTAACAATGGCCCAATTGTTACACACATCATAAATTCTCGCAAAATAGAAGAAAGGCCGAGAGTGAACGAAAGTCTCTCACTTGTTGGGAAACAACACCCTTTCGGGCATAAACGCTTCCCGAGCAGTTGTCTAATTTCTGGGGCGGAAATAAGTGCTCGTAAAAAATGTTCGAGCCCATAAAATTCGGCCACACCCACCGAATATTACCGCCCTCGTTCGCAGAACAACCGTTTTAGCAAAGAAGCAATTCTGAACTTTGCTCTAAATATTCGATAATGCTTTTATGCCACGCATTCAATTTATGACTTTCTATGAAGGGTCCAACAATTTGTAAATAGTTTGCTTGATTTTGTTGTTGTTCCTTTGCCACTTTAAACTTTTTTTGTCGCACATTGCGCATACGCAGTGATGTCATCGAGAGTTGAACAATAAATGGCCGCCGAGTCGTGAATTTCTTTTGCCCATGGCTCCTCCGGCACTCGACGGAACCATTTATCTTGATTGCCGCACTCCATCATTTATGATCGATGCTTGAACTGCGTCCTCTCAGCCAGACATTGAACTCTCGGTTAAAGGCATTAAAAATAGTCTGCGATGTCCATCAATATTTGCTGTAAATTGAATCTGTTTGTTAATAATGGATTTTCATTTTTTGTTTCCCTTTGCAGGTACGTAAAATAAACTTTGTTTAGTCGTTAGTGAACATGACGGATATAATGGGGAATTTTGGTATGTACAGAGTTGAATGTATACCTTTTCAATTTAAAATCGAGTGAATGAATTTACCCTAGTGTTCTAAGCCCTAAAAAACAGACTCCTATCAATTAGATAAAAGGCCAAGAGAATATCCATACGTTTAAGTTTTATCTATAAAGAAAGTTGCAGTCTGGCAGAAAGATATTCACAGTTAATATTAGCCCGCACTCCAAACAATTTGTCAAAAGCAAACCAAAAGAGACGAGAAATGCCGTGGAAAACAAAAGAGGATGGGAAAGCGGCATGTATATATATCCCTGAAAAAGAGTGTGTGTGTGTAGAAGAAATCATGAAAAATGGCATTTCCGCATTGCCAACTTCATTTCCGCTTTTCCTTCCGAACGGTCAGAGTGGCAACAAGTCAACAACAAGTTGGCCAAAGTGGCAGCTGCATTTACCATTGAAGAGCTGACAACGTCTTGAGAAATGCCCGAAGCGAAACGCTAAAATAAGATGGGAAGTAAAAAACGGGGAGAGGAGTCCAAAGTAAACGCAAATATGTACTTTTCGACCATTAAACAAAGCTGCCGGCACTTGGGCCAATTTGCTACGTTTTCTGGTTAGCCGCCGATAAAAAAGCGGAACTACTTGAATTTTCCTTCTCTACTTGCCCTTTAATTTGCATAAATCGCTTTAATTGCCGGCTAGCATATTTAAAGACGTGCCAACAATGGCCCAAAAATAGACACCCAGCAGCAAGTTTGCGCCGACTCGAGTCAATTGCGCTTGCCAGAGCAATAAATCTTAGAGATTATTTTAATTTCATGCAAACTATTTCAAGCTGAGCTGCGTCGAGATGCCTGTCAACAACTTTTGCGACTCGAGAGCAGCAGCAGCAACAATAGATAACAAAAAGTTGCCGAACCTACGCAAAAAAATCAAAGAAGGTTACGCAGCGCAGTTAAATCCAACGAACTCTCGCTGTCGGGAAAATGAGGTTAAAATCCACACGCAGGGTCCAAAATGTAGGGGAGAAACCTAACAGAGTTATCGAAAATGTTAGTAAACCAAGAGACAATGAACTCGAAACAGAGGGGAAAAAATTTTACAGAATAAGGAATAACTTGTGATTTTCGGATGGAAGGAATGTTAGCAAACAGCAGGTCTCCTTCTGTTAAGTTAAAGATTTGTAGCCAAGGAAAAGGTTCCACATTCCCCTAAAAATGTTTATTAAAAGTAGTCCATAATGTTAACTATTCCGTTCTGCCAATCTGAACTAAACAAACATTTTTATATGCGCATTTTTTTTGAATAATTAATATTTATTTTTTAGAAATTGGTTTTCTTTTAGAAATTAATTTTTAATTTTATAATCAGATTCAACTAACGCAGAATTAGTTCTTTAATCTCCTTATGCCAAGTGTATTAAAATAGATGAAAAGCATGACAGTCTTCTGAAAATTGTGTGAAAATGTCTTTTAAAGTGGAGTACTCTAAGATCTGTTATCACGTCATGGAAAATCTTTTTCGAATTTTTCTCTCATGTAAAAACCCACTTACTCTCTCTCTCTCTTTGTGGAATTCATTTTAACCAGCTCTCGAAATGCCTTTAACAGTGCCGGCTTTTTGGCAGGTCTTTGAACCTGTTCAACACACCCCAGCTGGCTCTGTGTGCGTGGTCGTATCTGTGTGAATGGGGAAGGACTCTTAACATCCTGCCACTGCTGTTCATGGCGTTTTTCGAGGACGCTTCTGAACATGTTGAGCAGCCATCGAAGCGAATGCAATGAAATGCACCTCACATATAGAGTAAGGCTTGCCTGCTTGCCATCAAAAATGCGAATCTGTTGAATGGGAGTCCCGAGTGCTATTTGATGAGCAATTTTAATGTAATTCGCCATGACCTTGACACCCATAAGCCAAAAAGTTGAGTTCCCTATTGCGGTTATTTCGATTAAGTTAGTGAGATTTAAAAAAGGAAACGTAAAAATATTTTAGCAAACTTTTTTAAAAAAATAGAGACTATTTATTTTTAAAATATTTCATATGAACTAAAATAATTTTTAATGATATTTTCTTTAAAGGAATTTTGAGAAAAGCCCCAAACCGTAAACTTTAAAACACACTCGACCTGCTTCAATTGAGTTTTAGGAAAAGCACCAAAATGTAAGCTTTAAAAACACAAACGACCTGCTTCAATTGTGGGCGTACTCGCGCCCACTTAAGTTGATATTTATGGCGCCGCACTTTGGGTCCACTTTTCAATAAACTACTTAGTCGCACTCGCAGGCCACAACAGCAGCGAAAGCATCGCAGAATCTGCTCCTCCATTCGGTGATTTATAAGTGCAGGGTTTCACACCCTCGCCCTCGGCCGCATATACGCTCCACCCTTTTTGCCACCGCCTCTGCATGCATCTTGTTGCTATCAAAGTGCAAATAAATTACCGGCAGTGGAAGAAGAACTGGCCGTTTGGCATAATGCTAGCCAGGAGCAAAGGATAAAGGGAGGAATTCAGTTGGATGCCTAAGCGTTTTCTGATGAGACAGCTCACCTGTGCACTAAAGAAAAAAATCTATATAAATTTCATGTCCGTGGAGTTGAGTTTTTCATTAAATTAAAGTTTAAAGTGTTAAAACAGGAATGATATCGAATAAATCTAAATTAATATTTATTGGTTTACAAGAGTAAATAATTGAATTTAAATGCTTTATTCACATTTCAACAAAATGTTTTGCTATTATGCAGTGCAAATCCTGCAATTAAATTGCTTCACTGCTTGCACAGCAATTATTTGGCTTTAACAAAGGACGATCGTTCAATTAGCATTCTTCCAGGGCAGAAATTTTGTAATTGCCACAGAGCACAGGTATTTCGGTACTGGCATCTTGGCCAGGAGGTATGGTCGGTATTTGCTTGCGGCCAAACGGCCATTAACTGGCCTTGTCATTCACTTTCATTCACTTTGACATTGTTGCTGTCGTTGTGTCGACGCTTTCAAACGTAAATGACACGTGTCAAAAGTCAGTAGCAGCAACCATACAACAAAAAGTGCCACGCCCACGCGGACAACTTTAATTGTTTACGAAAAGTCCAAGACCTTCCAGCTTCAAGTGGGTGCTGAAAATCAGGTTAATACTGCTAGAATGTACGAAAGAGTGTTTCGGTCCCGTTTTGGCCAATATTTCCTTTGAAGATTAACGTCACACCCAAGCAGCTTGGCACCTTTTTCAAGCCAAATGATTAATGACAGCAATTTCGGGGTGAAACTCGGGTGGGGAAAGTATTTTGCCTCTTCCTGTCCAGTCGTGGGCAGCTCTCCTTTTGATGGAAATCTACTTGTTGGCGCCAGTTTTTCATCCAATCAAATTTGTCCAGAGAAAAAGCTGGGCCAACTGATTTATTTCCTAATTTCAGAGCATTAATGATTACCTAGCTTACCATGGAATTTTGCATGAATTAATCATATCGAAAGCCATGGTTGAAAAGGTAATTTAGCTTCGCCTTTCTCATAAAATATTTCAAAAAATTCTTTAATATGGCTTGCATTTCAAAATATTTGTACTAGCAGAAGCACTTTTTATTGCTTGATGCCTGTACAAATAAAGATATATATTTGGTTTGTAAAATGTAAATAGTAAAGTATTTTAAAAACAATTTTTTAAAATTTCTATGTAAACGGTATGGCTGCCTATAAAGTCGCCTCTTTTTTCTGGAAAGGATAACATTTTTGGTGGGTAGGAAACTTGTCTAAAAAATGTCAAATGCAAGGGCATGAAAGGAAATATCTGGCAAATTAGTGGGTCACAAAGCCGGGACCAAACAACTTCAGGTAGCTGGCTTTTAACCCTCCCGGCTGCAATATTGAAAGCCCGAAAGAGATACTCGGAGTGTGGAAACGGAGAAGGAGTACGAATGTCGTTTGTCGGCATTTGTCACGTGCAGTGACAGATCGTGGGGGCGGCGGATGTGGGCGTGGCTGGATGTCGGTTTGTTTGGGAATTTGTGTGCAGCGTTTGATTGAAAGGCGTTGCGATTGTCGCTCCGCCGCGTTGCAATGCCTAACCCCAAAAGAAATGGA